ACACACACACACACACACACACACACACACACACACACAAGTGACCAAACAGCAACAGAATGAGCCAGTGGAGCTGGTGTGTTTCTGATGGAGAGTTGAGCTTAAGAGCAGCTGACAGGAGCATCAAATAACCATCCTCCGTGTGACCTACCCCGTTCATTTCAGTGCACTTTCTCCGCGAGCCTTGTGGTTTTGAGGCGACGGTCCAGTGTTTTCTTCTCCTCTGCACTTCTGTCCGTCTAGACGGCGTGGCACGAGGACATTCACAAACAGCTCCGTGTTCACGACGAGGCAAAACTAGAAACTTCAGAGCTGTTTTAATTAATGCTCCTCCATCCGAGCTAGTTTCTACAGTTTCACGCCGCCATGTTTGCACGTTTGTCTCATTCACCGGAGGAAAGCATGTGAGCATTTAAATAACCAATAATGTTTGGAAGTTGTGTTCACAATTGCCCGGAAGATGGGGCTGTTAGGCGGCTCGCGCTTCCGGTTTTATTATTAGTAAAAAAATAAAATAATAATAAAAAAATAAAATAGCTCTCGAAAAGCTGATTCGGTATTGGTAGTACACTTTCACGTTTTAATTTTAATTCTATGCTTATTTAGTTTGAACAGCTTGTTGATTCTATAGGGTCAGTAAGTAGAAGCCTTGCAAAAAAAATAATGTAAATCGTATTTTTCTTAATAACTAAAAAACATTTTAAAGGACCTTACAAAAGACTACTCATTTTTAGTGTACAAAGACGTTTCGAAGAGTTGACCGTGTTTTATTTTCCTCAAAATAAATGTGAAACTCATACTCAATACACATTTAAGGTGTTTTCTTTTATTTCTTTAAGAGTTTAAAGGTCAGTCTTGCGAAACACAATATACCATTTTTGGCCAGCAAGTAGAAACCTTGCAAAACAATTAAACTATCAGTATAATATATACCACTTAAAATAAATAATACAATTATATATACGTAACACTTGTTTTTTTTTTCATTTTAAAAATCCTAAAGGTCCTTAAATATCTTACAAGGCCGAACTGAAAATTCTAATATACAAAACCTGAAAAACTTCAATGGTTTATGGACATATTTTGCTTTACATGCCAACATTAGTATAGTATGTCCATACATAACACTTAATATGATTTTGAATACTTTTCACAAATGTTAGGGTGCTCTCAAAGTGTTTTGAGGACAATGTTAAAAAATACAATTTACAATTTAAAAAAAAAATGTTGTTCATTATTTGTGGATTGAAATAATTCATAGATTTAAAAACATGCTGATCTTCTGAAATGTTGGGGGTTTTTCAACCTTTGTCAAAAAGCAGAGGTCAGAACCCGCTACCTTTGACCTCACCAGTATGGCTTCAGCAATGTCATTCTGACGTGTCACTGGAGGAAACTATTTCTATCGCGTCACTTCCTGAATGTGAGTCAGGGATAGGTCACGTGACGGGGCTTCGGCGCTCTCCTTCTCCGACTACTTTTGAATTTAAAATATAATTGAACGCCTCGATTCATATGGACGGACTCCGGGGCTTTCTGAAAGATGGTTGTAGGTCGGCTCTCGACAGATGCTCCGCGACGTGTCATCCGCGTCGCGTCTGGAACATTTCCGAACGCAAAATCGACTGTTTTGTGGGCTGCAGCGTCACGTGACCCGCACGCGCCTCGGGTAAAGATGGCGCCCGGCGGTTAGAAAACAAGCAGCGCGAGCAGCGGCGACATCCTTCACTCCGCCGCGACGTTTGGGATCCATAGAAACCGTGTGGAGTACGTGTTTGACTTACTGGACATTAGCTGTCAGACAGCGGGTTTGCTCTGTGTTTTTTGTCACGCTCACAATTCCCGTCGGTTTAGGGCCGCTAAGCAAAGGTATGTTGAGTTTTATTGCGTTTTTTGTTGTTGCGTGAAAGCTGAGGGAGTCTTGCGCTAAGCAGCTAACCTGAGGCGAGCCGTTAGCGCACTTTTGACAAAGTCACTGACAGGAATTATTCGCTCATATGTCATTTTTTGCCACTCATTCTGCTTGTCAGGGTCCTTGAGATTATTTAAACCCGGGTATAGCCTATTTAAAGAGCGTTTTGACTCCTCTTTTGATGTTTAAGGTTGATTAAACGAATCGTGAGGAAAATCACGTTAACTAGCAGCCACCGTAACCAAGACTGAGGAGCTGTTTCACCACATGCAGCACATAGAGAGACTGTATTTTGATGTTAAAAGCGTGTTTATATTATACACTAATGTTATAATGTGTCTTAACCCAGGATCTGTTCCTCGGGGAAAGATTGAACATCTCCGCTGAATATTGAGGACTCGAGAGCAGGACGTTCAGTTCTTATGTTGTGCGTTCACAACCGCCAGGTTATCAACGTTTTGATCATTTCGGAGATCATTATAGTTTTCTTTTGCGTTTAGTCTGGTTTCTAAACGTGCAAGCTGATTGACATCAACGTCCAGCAGCAACGGCAGACCAGTTAGTGTCTTGTTGGATCAGTTTTGGCAAACACGTGTGGAGGTGGACGTTGTGGTGAGCCATTAGCAGCATTAGTTTAGCACGTTGTTGCTCTTATGAGTACATTTCTTGACAAATTAGTGTTGTTTAGGGTTAGATATTATGCAGTGTTCAGTCGCAAAGTTCTAACATTAATAGCATCCCAACAGCATGTGATGGGAAAGATGTGATCTTTAATTGGGGGCTATGTCATTGTCTTTATTAAAGATGTGTGTAGTTTAAGAGGACGTTAAATTACGTCTTATGTTAGATAGTAAAAATGGATGTTTAGCAAAAGTAGAGTCTCTTTATGATTATTAATATTATGGTGTTCTCTGTCCTTTAGACGATGGATCCTGGACAAGATTTGCTTCTGGCTGCTCTTAGTGAAAGTGGAATCTGCCCTAATGATCTGTTTGATGTTGATCCTCAGGACACACTTCCACTCCCTGCTTCACAACAGGTCGTTTAAAACATACATGCAGCATGGTTTACTCATTTTCACGCAGTTTAGTTTTTTCCCCCTTAAATTCAAACCTAAGGCTGGGGGTATTAACACAGATTTTACAAATCCATTTTCAATTGATTAAAATATCTAATAGTTTGGATGTGTATCTGGTACAGTACATGTTAATATTTCGTAAGAAAACTACGAAACTAAAGCTTTAAACTATACAGGCCTTTTTTTGAAGGCCTCTAACACTAGCTTGCTCTTTTTTTCTATTGTATCTGTTTCCTTTTTATTTATTATATAATAAAAAAAACATGGTACGTGTACTGCGTTAAGCTAACTGAGACTCGTTATAGCACTTGCGTATCATTGCTCTTTTG